CTAAGAGTATACAGCCAATACAATTATGATATCTAATTATTCAGTAAAGTTTCTTGATACTTACCAACTGGAATAGGAATATTTTTTTAATAAAATAAACTAGAAATCAGTCATTTCTATAGTGTATTTTTACATGCAAGAAATAGTGCTATTTTTTTCCTATCGTTCAAATTTAAAAAATTTGTTTTGAAAAATTGCTTTCTAAATATTCTCAAGAAGATAGCTTTCAAATTTTATACTCATCCATTCATTANTTTTCTATATCACAATTATGCATTTTACAAAATTAAAGAGATTACAAATAAAAATACATAAAAATTACTGAATGGTCATAATTGTTTAACCACAACTGGAATGAGACCTAATAATATCACAATGAATTTAAAGATTTAGTCTCTAAAATATGCAAAACACATTTTATAGAGGAAAAAAATCCAATTTCAGTGATAGAGATTAAAAAAACAGTATACCCATACGTGTGAAAACAGAACACAAAAAAGAAGCTTTTTATTTGAAGAAAACCTGCTGAAATTCAACATGTTTTCTACTTTCACATATTCATAATTCTTTTCATTATATTAATGAATTACAATAGATAAACACAAACGTTTTGTGAACTAATATATTATAATAACATAATTTTGTTAAATACTTACTGGAAATCTAATTATGTCTGAAACATCATCAAGTGTTGCATCTTGAAAATAATCTACCCAAAAATTGAAAACCTGAAAAATATTTATTTAATGTTTACTTTCAGAAAATCAAACAAAATTTGAAAGTTAACTTAATTCATAAACAAAACCACTACTGTTTTGAGATTATCAAATAACTTATTTAAAATTAAATTTTTTGGACCTAAATTTTGACCATTTACAGTAATATTTTTGTTTATTTATTGTGCTTACTTTCATTTTGTTTTACAAAATAAAATCATTACAAGTATATTTATAACTTGAATAACTATGATATTTTAAAATATAATTTTAAATTATTCAATTGAAAAATTATTATATATGAAATAATGACTAAAAAAAAAGCATATTAAAAAATTTATCATTTTAAGTTTCTTTTAAGGTTTTATTTCTTATGTGAATAATTCAATTTATTTCTTCCACTGCTGAAAATATTTTAAAATATTTTCATATATTTAAAAATGATGTGTTTGTTTAACTTTTCTGTCTTTCACAAAAACACAATAATAATTTTTGCATATTTGTTACAAATAACTTCATAACATATTTTTCAAATTTATGCAACACAAATTAGAGGAAGAACAAACTTTTTAAACAAAAAATGTGAAGTTATAACAGAACACTTTATTAAAACCTTCTCAGATAATTATATAATTATAATTACTATTTTTTAAATAGAATTACAATAAAATAATTTTTAATTGTATGGATTAAACAGCAATTAAAGAGCAAAAGAGAAAATGTTAATTATCTTATAATCATAATTTCTAACTGCTATTTATTTTGCAATTACAGCAAAAAGTTTAGTACTTTAAGTGCTAAAATTAAGTACTTTAACAAAATTGTGATAGTTGAAAGTCTAAGATTGATAGCAAGCTATATTTTTATTACACACTAAGGATATGTTTGTAAAGTCAAACTAGTGAAATGAATTACTAACAAGTCAGTCATAAAATATTAATTCAGCTCAAATACACATGGCTCTAAACTGATGACATTTCAAATGAAACTCTAATGAAATTCACAAAGGAATATGTTAGTTTACATCATGAAGAAAATGGCATCTGGCAATACTGACATTTCNTATTCCAATTTCACAAAACAAAGCTTAGTCAAATTACAAAATAAAAAAAATATTAAACAATACATTTCATTTTTGTTTCAATGACAAAAGTATTAGACAGATTATTTTTCAAGCACTTTAAGTTCAATAATCAAAAATGTTCAAGAAATAACTCCAAAGTACTGTAATATAATTTATAAGTAATTTCTTTCTTTCTTTCATCATCATAACACTGTAAAGTAGTTAATATTTACATTTTATACTTTTCATTTTTTCATTATTCTTGAAAAAAAATGTATTTGTTTCAAACTTTTGTACCTATTGTTCAGGCTATCTGCAATCTGGCACATAGCACCCACCCTGTATCTAGTTTATACACAGTTAATCTGCATACTATATATACATTTGTCATCTGTAAATATGTTTGTACTATCTGTCGTTGTCACATAGCACTACAACCCATATAATTTCTGTACTATTGTTAATCTGAATAACGTACATATGTTTGTCATCTGTTCTTATGTTTGTGCTATCTGCGATTTGTCAATCAGCACTCAACATGTAACTATTTTGTACCAATATTAATCTGCATACTGTATATATGTTATTACTTGTACATATGTTAGTACTATTTGCAATTTGTAACATAGCACTCCCAACATGTATTCCTCTAACATTCTTGTTATTGTATTTTCTACTGAACATTTCCTTATAAAGCACTGTCATGGGACATCCATGGATCCCAACCCTTTCTTTATCACCTTTCCTTTCTCACCCACACCACTTCTTCCCCACTCCCATCTTCCTCCTTTTCCATAACACAGGTTGTACCAAAGAGTGATACCTGTCTTACTACTACTACTTATTTAATTTTCTTTCAATTTATCAATGTTCATAAAATTTTAATTTCTCAAGTAATTAAAATTTAAGTCTTTATTTTATTTAAAAAATGACTTATTCAATTGGCAATTATAACAAACTGTAGAGGAAGTTGTATAAATTTAAGATAACAAATGTAAACAGGACAATTTAGTATGTAAGATGTCTACTAGGACTTATTTTATTAACAGAACTTATTATACCAGTGACCTGGTTCTGCAAATTTAAGAAAAGTAATCAGAAAAAATAGTCTTTTTTTTCCCCTGTGACAATTTCACAGGTGAAAAATAAAGACTATTTTTTCTGATTACTTTTAGACATCTTACATACTAAACTGTATAATAAAGACACACAGGCATATGAATTAGTAATCAGGACAGTTTACTTACATTCTCATAAAATGATGTCTTACATATTGTTAATGTAGATATAGATTTAAATTATTTGAAAAAAGTCAAAATGGATGCAAATTATATTAATTAAGTTTCTAGAAAAGAATTCAGTTAATAAAAATCTTATTGGATTACATTTACAAACTCCAGAATTTATTCCACATGTCAGAATCAATTTTACTGTTTATATGTATAATTCAACAATAATAATCATAAAAGATTACAAATATACTTGTACTGTTAAAAGTTCAAAAAAAAAAAAAACTGTGAACACATTTGTATATTATTGTTCAATTATAAAAAAGTTATACTTTAACATAGGCCTATAAATGATAATAAGTTAGATATTAAGCTATTTCAAATTTATAATTTAACATTTACTGGCAACACTCATATAATACAAACTTCTACAACATGGTTTCATGCTAATACTATTTCTAAACTGGCACTCAGTGTTTCTGAATTTACATGCAAGAACAATTTTGCTGTTATTTTAGAATGGAAATATCAAAACATTACATCAATGTGTTTTGTGAATCCACACTGTTTGACTGCTGATTTATTAGCCATTATATATATAATGGCTAGCAAATCACTGTAGATTTATATATATATATAAACCAGAATCTAACATGTAAATGTCTCAAACAAAATAAAGTAATAATGCTGAAATTTTCTTTATATATATATATAGAAAATTTCAGCACTACTACTATATTTTGTTTGAGACATTTACATGTTAGATTCTGGGTTCTGAATGTCTGGAACCATAAAATGTTGGAACCATGAAATGTGATTTCATGGTTTCAAACAGTTTGGGACTTTTAAAAATTATTTTCAGAAAGTTGTTTTTATTATATGTAGAATTACATACTAAACTTTGTTCTTATGAATCATACTGGAATAATTTTTTTTTATAAACTACATTCTAGTCATAAATTATGCTTAATGAAAGTCAAAAAGCACACTCAAAAGAGAATTTTTTTTATAATCAAAAGATACAAATTCTGGATTGTCTTGAAAAAAGGTGGAAAGTATATATTATGTGTTGCCAAAAATTTAATTTAAATGAAATAACAATCTAGATCGTGAAGATTGGACAGACAATTAGAACTGCTATTATTTCTCTAAATTTGACAAAAGAGGATAACATTTCAAAAAGGTAACTTTTGTTAGCTATTAGAATGCAATCCCTGTATAATACAGGTATTTAGTCCCATATAACACAGTTTTGGACTACATGAGATTTTACAGGAAGCTAAACTCCCATGTTATATGGTACTGCCTCTATTTGGATCATTGAATGAATTAAGATGCACCAATATAAAGTGCTTGGAGTGTCTTCGGTATAATTTATTTTAAAATAATTTCATTCACATTTTTATTTTAATTCAAGCCAACATAAAATTTCACCCATTAAATAGTGTCAGAGTTTTGAAATAAAAGCAGATTTTCTTTTTTGGTTCTTTTTAAAGCTCTGTTTTAGTCTCAGTTTTTTTTTATAAAATTCAAAGCCATGACTCAACCAAAACTGACTCATTCTTACTGAAAATTTATAACCAATGTAAGTAGGCTGCTATGTAAGAAGTGACTGAACTGATCAGAAACAAAGTAAACAATGTTTCAATTTCACTTTTAAAACACATGATCCTTGCACTTTAGCAAATCTATTTCCCCAAATAATGCCTAGGCTTAGCTGAGATATTACTCCATGTTTTGTAGTTATTGCCATATTATTAATTTTCTATTGCAAATTTCCCCAAAATTGTTTTAGTTTCTCCTCAACCTCATTCATCTAACAACACATCTTCACTCCTGTATTTATCCAGAATCACAAAATGTGTTAATTTTGCTATAAAGTAAGTACTGTACATCTTTATAAATTTTCTTATAATAGAAGAGAGAAAATTACATTTTCTGAAAAAAAAAATTTCTTGATAAATAAATAAAATTTGTTAGTAATAAACATTTTACCAATTTGGTGGTTTCAATTTAAACATGCACTCTGCAGCTTGAATTGCTTTCACGTACTCTTCAGCTAATACACTGATTTCAAAAAATGTAGCTACATCCCAGTAATCTTGTAAAGATGATAAGCTACCTTTACGACCGATCAAATGATTCAACATCATTCCAATCTGTTGCAGTTCTATAGAATTAGAGAGATCGTTTCCAGCAACAACCAATAATGTAGCTAAATTTACTCCTGCATATTCATTTGGTTTGACTTCAAATCCTTTACGGTACCTGAATAAAATTGAAAAATATACATAATAAATAGAATATGACAATTAAAATTAAGGTATATATAGCAAAATATTTAACTCACCAATATATTGCATTTTCCAAGCTTTCTTTATCCGAATAATCTGAATCTACAAATTTATCTTTATAAATACGACCGCAAAGGCATAAAATATCAGGAAGATGATTTTCTTTTTTGGTCAACACTTTAGAAATAACATCTAAAGCTTTTTCTTGATCACCTTCTTTTTTCCTCCTGCAATTATCAAAAGAAAATTTTTACCATAAAACTTAATTAAAAGAAAGCAAATATTAAAAATACTTGTATTAACTGGTTTTGACTTTTTAGTATTTTTTATACTGCTTCTGTCAACATCTCTGTATTAATATTACACAAATTTGCAAGATTGAAACAATATAAAAAACCAGTAATTTTAGGCTAAGATTTACTCAAACATTCTCATTTCACATACAATAAGAATTAGCATTTAGTGAGTAATTAATTGTAGAAAATATTTCTGTTTCTTTACACAAAATAAAAAATGCTTATTGATTAAATGATAACTACAGTTTAAAATCCCAACTTTATAACTGTGCTTGATCAAGATGACGCTTGTTACTTAAAGTATACTGTTATAAACTTATCAGAGTTTATAAACAAAAAAATCAAACAACTGCTTAATTAAGGAAGCTGACAGTTTTAATTAAAAAAAATAAATGTTTTAAATCATCTAACCAAACTCAATTGTTATATGCTGAGAATTATCAGATGATTGACAAAACATTTCTTTTACTAAAGATATTGTCTATGTGAAGTAAATAATAAAATAATTTAAACATAAGAAATCATCCAGTCTAATTAAATCAAATTTAGATTTATGGAGCTACATTTGGGTTATTAATTTAATTAACTAATTATATAATTTGTCTAAAGTAATATAATTAGACTGCCATCTTTTATCCATATTTTAATAATTAGAAATTAAATTTAAATTATTTAAATAATTGAGAATAATCTGAAAGAAATGATCAACCAAGGCTCATACCCCTATCTTCTGCTTACTGCGCAGATGTAATGTCAGTTACATCACCCAGATCTTCATCTATTTCCAGATTTATATTAATTATTAAAGCCACATAACCATAGATAATTAACCTGTATTAACAATTATTTATTTGGTTTGATTTATATATTTATTAACATGGCAGTTGTATGAACAAAAATACTCATAGCTGTATTTTCAAGTTTATAGTTTCCAAATTCAACCCTGAATTTTGTTGTCATCAAATTTTCAAAGAAATTCAAACATTTACATAATCCATTAAATAATTATTATTAGTAAAAATTTTGAAAGAAATATTGGTTTTCTTACCTGTTAAGAGCAAATGCATAATGAAATTGTATATGCAATGTGAAAGTAAACTTTATATTTGGAATTGTTTGCAGTTCATCAACGAGGGTAACCATTGCATCATAGTCCTAAAAATAATTTCAGATTTTAAATGATTTTTACAGTATCATAAACTCACTATAATTTATTTCATTCTTCATATTTTCAGAACATCTCATCCGAAGATTTTCAGATTATTATTATCTGAACATGTTCTGAACTCTAAAAATGGGCTTCCGTCACAAAAAGTACTAATACCGTAATATGTAATATAGTTTAAACTTCATTAAAACATTACTTTTAGTTCTTTGTTTGCACAAGTACTATAGTTCCATACATATTTGTTTCTAATCTTAGTTTCTCTGTAATTAATAAACATCTCCAGTTTAACAGCAATATTGTTAAAGGATAACAGAAATACATAACTATAAAAACAACAGAATATGCAAATTTTGAATCTCTCAAATTTTTACTTTTTATTGAAATACATATTTTTAAATATAAATTGTGTTTACATTAACTTAAAAAAAGAAAAATTTTACCTGTATATCTCTGTATAAAAGCAACATATTTGTTACAACTTCTCCAGAGATAATATTGGGGTCATCAAGTCGTTTTCTCATTTTCTGTAATTCCTGCAGATATATATGTTTTTATTAAGTTTACGCAATACAATATTTAAATACAGTAAAACTTCTCTAACTCAAATGTATATAACTTGAATATTTATTTAACTCATACAAAACGAAGCACTCAGTAGGTTGGAATGGAACAACAGAGGAATTTAATGTCTCCAATGTGAATTTTCTTAACTCAAATTCTGTGAAAGTAAAAGTTTTCATGGTCCCCTGACTATGAGAATATGGAAATTCAGGAGAGGGTCATTCTGAAAATTAACAAAGTTGAGAAGAAGAAGAAAAAAAATTAAGAGAAAATAATATTTTTTCTTATTCAACGAATTTTACAAAAACAGATGAAACTTTCGATTTTGAAAGGAAGTTGATTTCCTTTCCTAGGCCAACTCATGATGAGTCACATGAGTTTTTGCACATGTTACTAGAGAGCAAATAAAAGGGACATTTTCCCACCACTCGAGGTAGTCTATCAAAGGAAGGTATTGCCACACAAAGAAGTCCGACATACAATAAAGGCAGTCCGTCGAAACGAGGTATTTCCACATGAAGAGAGTTAGCCATAAGACAAAGGCAGTCCGTCGAAACGAGGTTTGCCATACGAAGAAAGATATCATCAGAAGAAAAATATCGTCATACAAGGCTGTTATACAAATCCGAAAGGAAGTCATAAAAACATAGTACTACATTCAAAGTATACAAGATTGATAAAAAAGAAGATTTAAAAGAACTGTCCATAGAAAATATAAGAAATAACCAAGAAAGGAAGAAGACCCTCATATAGATACAGAGAATATATGAAAGACCTGTGAAAGGTAATATAAGTTAGATTGATGTGAACACTCTCTCATGCATTAGGTTTAGAAATAATCTTAGGTTAAGATTTAGGATTAGGTTAGATTCATTCTTTTGTATATTTTTATATTTTGATTCATTAAATGTTTTGATTTGTTATATGAAAATGGTTTGGTTAATATTGTCTATTCATACTCATTCGTCTTTAAATTTCCTTCGCTCCTCTTACTCACAAGTTAGGGATAACGCATGTTAATCCACGTAATATAAAACTGATTAACTGGTGTCGGGAATCCTGACAAAAGGGAAAGGATGATTACGCGATCATCTAATTCTGCTTTAAATTAACATTCGAACAGTAAGTCCCTCTGCACTTGATTTCCTTGAATTAGGAAAACCATCTTTATAAGACAAACAGAGGGCTATTCAAGAGAATAGTTGCCGATTAAGTGGTACACGAGTCTTAACTACTCCATATCCATGGCTAGCCCCTCACACTGACCCTGATTTATGTTACTTTCAAATTTTAATATTTATTTATCCAAAGTGATTCTAATTAATGGATTTCCATGAAATTTTCAGACAGTTAATTGTCTCTCCTCCTGTCCAACATTCATTTGCAAACAATGTGGATAAGATAAAGCAAGAGGTCCTCTCACTTTATCTCAACAAGATGTACCTGCAATACCTGTGCCTTAGTTATATTGAATATTTTGCTGAAAGGCATTATGTAGGCAGGCTGTTTAAAACAAAAATCTATCAAACATTCTTTATATAATGCAAGAGCAGTAAAAATAAAAATATATTCAGAATCAGTATTTTTCATTCCCTAACTTAAATCATCCATAACTCAAAGTTTTTCTGGTCCTTTGGAGCTTTGAATAAGATAAGTTTTACTGTATGTACCAGTATATTCTTACAGATATATGAAATAAAAATACATACAAAGAGGATAATCATTGGTTGATAAGTTCAAGTACATACTAATCACCTCAATGTCAGTGTAAGAAACAGTGTATTATTAATAATTGAGGTAATTGTTCCCACCCATTCTGGCACCTTAATCTTTCATACCATGGTGTGAGTGGATAGCCGGGGATATGGAGTAGTTAAGACTCTTATACCACTTATTCGGCAGCTATTTGTTGAGAATAGTCCTCGGTTTGTCCAAAAGAATGGCTTTTCTATTTAAAGAAATCAAGGGTGGAGGGCTTTAACTAATATGTTAAAAAGAAAGATCTAGGTGGGATGTTCTAGATCACGTCAGGATCCTTGATACCAGTTAATCACTTTGATTAACGAATGCGTGTTAATCTGCGTTGAACAAAAGTGGAGAGACTAAGAGGTTTTTCTTTATCAGATATGGAGAGACAAAAGGAGACATATTTAAAAACAAAGTATCAAAAATTTAATGAACAAGATATGAGATATACAAATTCTAATCCTCAACTTATAATTATGGAATGTCACAGAGGGAGAGATTACAATTTCAATTAAACCATACTACCTCAAAATATGTTTATCTTCTTCTGTATTTTAGGTTCTGGACGAATGTTCTTGTCTTTGGTTAGTTCTTTGGCGGCACTTCAATAGACATCTTCTTTAACTTAGAAGGAACTTTATAACAAACTTTATAACAAACTTTGTATGAACTACGGGATTCGAATATGGGCATTGACCATAGGGAACTTATATAAAATACGTCCTTCTCCTATGGAATTTCGTGGCGTACTCCCTGAATAATACTAAAGAATCCCCTTTTTTTGATGATTTTCTCCAATAAGAGAATTGTATTATTCTCACGTGTCTAGGATGAGTGGGGGTTTACAGAGGGGTAACTGGACTGTATATGACTCAACATTTGTAAAGATAAGGGAAAACAAAAAGGATATCAAACTTTCATTGAGAAGGAAGTCAGTTTTACCAGTTTCCTTTGTTTTAACTTAAAAATTTTCCATTTAAAATCAGAAATATTACTTCTAAAAATTTATGTATTTGACACTGATTTCCAATTAATTAGGGGGGTGTGTGTCCAGAATCTCACAATGATGTGAAAAATTAGTCCATCTCCCCATACTTATTCACTCATATTTCCTATCCTGTACTAATTAATCCATTATGTTATGTCTGAAAATGGTCCATTAACTGGATCAAAATGTTTGTGTTTTTCCAAACTGTTATCAACTGTTAAAGTTATATTGTTTGCTTTATTAACTTTCATATATATTATTTTTACATATTTTGACATCACACATTATTTCTTTCTTCTTAATTTTACTTTAATTAAATTAATTATAACATTACATATATAAAATACTTTCTTACTGGAACTAAAATTAATATAAAAAAAACAAAACCTTTAAACATTCCAGCAAATCATTTTTAATATCTTAAAAACGTTTTCAAATGCTTTAAGCGATCATCCTCAGTTATCATTCTGAATTGAACGAAGAATTCGAAATTACATAAAATAAAATTCAAAAAGCGGTTACACAAATTTAAATTAACATGTAACAAGCTTAAATAATCGCAAAGACTATACAAATTAATTAAGACGAAATAAAGAAATAAAATAAAATATATACATCCAGTAAAAATTATCACAATTATTTAAGCTTGTTACATGTTAATGTAAATTTGTGTAACCACTTTTTGAATTTTATTTTATGTAATTTCAAATTCTGTGTCAATTCAGAATGATAACTGAGGATAATCGCTTAAAGCATTCAAAAACGTTTTTAAGATATTAAAAACGATTTGCTGGAATGTTTAAAGATTTTGTTGCTTTTTATAATATTACAATTAATAAACAAACAATTTGACACCTAAACACTAATTCCAGCAATAAAATAAACAAACAAACTTTAATGCTTGAACATTTCTGGCTGTCTTTCAGAGGTCCTCATCAGGAATGTAAAGAAAAAAAAAAAAAACAGTTCTATCTTTTGAAAATTTTGAACCATAAAATATAGCTATGTTCCAATTTTTAAATATTTAAACGATGTTCGATACAAAAAATCATTACATTTGCAACATATAAATTAATTATTTTAAATAAAGCTATAAATAAATTCATTATTTATATTATATGGCATTGTAAAAGATTACAATTAATGTAATCTCATTTATTTTTATATTATGTTGGGTCATCAGTTAACCTTTACTGAATTAAGAAATCATAAAATTACATGCATCATCATAGAAAATAAAAAAAATTTTTTTTTTTTCCTGTGATATTATATGCAAGCCCAAAAATTTTTTAAAAGATATTACAAGTAAACACTCACAGTTTTACAATTAACAAACTTAAATTTTAGAAAAGTTAAAAAGTAAAAAAAAAAAATCAATCATATTTACCTGAGCTAATTCTTCTCCAGTGAAATTTTTCTTTATAGATCTTAAATCAGAAATAAACTTTTCTTTCATGTGAGCTCTAAAATAAATGATAAAGTAAAAATTTATTATAGATGTTATATATATATACTTTTTAATAAAGTATAATCCCAACAAGGGAAACCTTCCAACCCATAAATGAAATTAATGACATTTTCAAGATTTACTAAATGTATTTTCTTCTAAGAAAACTAAAAATACGATTCATTTTTTGTTCCTCTCAGAAACAAATAAATGCAGCAGCCTCTGAATTATCATTAATTTCATGTATAAATTGGAAGGTTTCTCTTATAACTATATAAAATAAAACAAACTGTAACATTAATATTCTTATATATATTTATGTTTTTAACACAAGTAATGAATTATACTTTCAAATTGATGAAATGGTCTGATATATGATAAGGTACAGCTAGATAAGATATAAATTTCAATATGATGTAACTTAATGTAAACATAGATGCAATTTGACAAAATGCAACTGATATGAAATCAAATTGTTGAGGAAAGGTAATAAACAACTTTTTATTCAAATAGTCACTTATAAATTCATTATTACAGTTTGCAATATACTTTTAACAAGTTCAGAATCTGTAAAGTCTAAATTTTAATACAAGATTCTTTTAATAATAATTATTAAGGAATCATTTAATAACTTATTAACTTATTTCTATTTAGGAAATATTCTAATTAGTCATTCCTTAAAAAGTGGAGAAAAAAGATAGATATGAAATTATAACTGCCAGTTATTTTCTGTAATAAAAAATTATTTTATATTACTAAATTTTTAATTTTTATAAAAATTTATTATAATTTAATAATTTCATAAAATAAATTAAATATTAAACAAAAATTTTAAACTGAAATGTTTATATCAATCTGTAATTCCTTATTTCAGAATATATTCTCTCATCCTTTGCAGTGAGCAATGATGTAACTACTTGATATATTTAGCTTCTATACTCAATAATTTGCATAATTTTCAAATATGCAAGATAGTAGTTCATTTTAATCACATTATTTTCTAATTTTCTATTCATTTACAAAGTTTAATATATAATTATATATAAATCTCACAAGAAAGTAAAATATTCATTTTATATTTTTTAGCATCTTTTAGTGTGGTGTGTGTATATGTGAATTTCTATTTACAAAATTTGAATTATTACAAAACAATTTAATGTAATGTTATTTGAAACTTTATAATTACAGAAGTGAATAAAACAGATAACTTACTTTGACTGTAGTTCAACTTCTTGTAATAATTTCTTCAGTTTGCAACTCAAATGTTGTTTTGATTCGAGTACATCATCCGGAACCAATCGTAATCCAGCTGGATCAGTTACTACGCACATGCCAAGATCATTCAATTTATATGTTATTAGTGTATAGTTCTGGCATGACAACTGCAAAATAAAAAAATATATATTAATAATTTTTTTAAACAAATTTAATGATTAACTGATTAATTAGTTAATACAAGCACATCTTAGTCTAAATGCTAGCTATAATTGTGCCTAATACAGGCAAATCTGCCTACAATGAAAGTTGACCAATATTATTCTCCATCCCCAAAAATGGAAACAATACTATCTACATGCTACCCATTATAAATTATGGTAGGTAATCCTTGTGGGAATAGGCTGACACCTTATTGTGCTAAACAAAATTAACAATGACTTATTAAAGTATTATAAAAATAATTTTCTTGAAAAGAATAAGCAGGTCATTCAAATTATTATTAAATATAACAATTTTAATTAAGTATTTAATAAGTTCATCAAAAGATATTGTAATATTTTTTTTAAATGTTTCAAATTTTTAAATATAATACTTTAAAATATACAGTTTTAACAAATTTCAAAGAATTAACTTAATTGTGAAAAATTATTAATATCCATTATGTTCTTTTATATTAAAATTATAGAAAAAATTTAGTTTAAAATTTTCATTAATTTTTTTTCCTACTCTCAGATGTTTAATTTTTAAAAATAACTGTAATCAATTTACATTGTTTAGTGCTGTTTAAGACATGATAAAATGTGACCTCAGATTAAGAAAATAAATACAAACAGCACTCAATTTATGCCTGAGTTAAGTTCCTTTAGAAGAGGTTGTAAATCAAGGTAAAATGTCAGATTACATTGAGTTATAATAATGCTAGTAATTATTAACTAAAAGTCAAGTAATTTGGTCTAGAGATAGGCATTCGGCACCATCTCTTGACAAATTTAATAATTATAATTAAATTAATATTTTATAATTTAGAAGGTTTTGGAAAAAAATAATCAGCCCAAAAAGGGACTTGAATCCGTAACTCCCACATGCCATGCAAACATGTTACTAGTTTACACTACCCACACTTCCATCCAATCTTTACTTCCACAAATATTAATTCAGATATAACCATACACCAATTGTTTCACATTAAACTAAAAACCGGGTTATTGGATGTTTTATATTTGCATCCATTAACTTTTCACAATTTCATCAAGTTAATTTTAAGTTTACATGTATAATTTTTTTGAAAATTAAAAGAAGAAATACTTGCTTTAAGAGAAAGAGATGAAGTTGAATCAATATCATTATAAAGCAAAATATTCTGTGTCATATTAAAACTCTCTCGAACTCCCAAGTGATAGATTAAGGAACTTTTCTGATCCTATAAGAAAAATTTTTTAAATTGAAACTTATTAAATGAAAATTTATAAACCATTGTAGTAATTTCACTTTAAAATTTTTATTTTCCAACTATTAATTTATTTAATAAACCCAAATTTAATAAGTGTGAATTTAATTGAATTGCAATACATACAACTATTGAATCATCATTATTAATTCATTTACTAACTAATTATAATATAATTAATTTCTACTATTTAATGTAACATAAAATGTAAGGAAAATAATTACTAGGGAAATTATTCATTANTTAATTTTTTTTCCTACTCTCAGATGTTTAATTTTTAAAAATAACTGTAATCAATTTACATTGTTTAGTGCTGTTTAAGACATGATAAAATGTGACCTCAGATTAAGAAAATAAATACAAACAGCACTCAATTTATGCCTGAGTTAAGTTCCTTTAGAAGAGGTTGTAAATCAAGGTAAAATGTCAGATTACATTGAGTTATAATAATGCTAGTAATTATTAACTAAAAGTCAAGTAATTTGGTCTAGAGATAGGCATTCGGCACCATCTCTTGACAAATTTAATAATTATAATTAAATTAATATTTTATAATTTAGAAGGTTTTGGAAAAAAATAATCAGCCCAAAAAGGGACTTGAATCCGTAACTCCCACATGCCATGCAAACATGTTACTAGTTTACACTACCCACACTTCCATCCAATCTTTACTTCCACAAATATTAATTCAGATATAACCATACACCAATTGTTTCACATTAAACTAAAAACCGGGTTATTGGATGTTTTATATTTGCATCCATTAACTTTTCACAATTTCATCAAGTTAATTTTAAGTTTACATGTATAATTTTTTTGAAAATTAAAAGAAGAAATACTTGCTTTAAGAGAAAGAGATGAAGTTGAATCAATATCATTATAAAGCAAAATATTCTGTGTCATATTAAAACTCTCTCGAACTCCCAAGTGATAGATTAAGGAACTTTTCTGATCCTATAAGAAAAATTTTTTAAATTGAAACTTATTAAATGAAAATTTATAAACCATTGTAGTAATTTCACTTTAAAATTTTTATTTTCCAACTATTAATTTATTTAATAAACCCAAATTTAATAAGTGTGAATTTAATTGAATTGCAATACATACAACTATTGAATCATCATTATTAATTCATTTACTAACTAATTATAATATAATTAATTTCTACTATTTAATGTAACATAAAATGTAAGGAAAATAATTACTAGGGAAATTATTCATTAATTACATATACAGTTTTTAAACCATTTTAGACTCCCTCCCAATTGTGTACCATCAACCCCCCTATAACACTGTTTATAATTCCGTTTTATATGAAATCCACTTAGATTTTACAAATGCGCGAGCCGTTCACAGCCCAGCATACGTATTTGTAAAATCTAAGTGACATGTACAACATGGATTTCATATAAAATAGAATTATCAACAGTGTTATAGGGGGGGGGGGTCAACTGTACAATGAACTACTTTTTGGTAGATCTCCTCTGCTTTAATTACTTATACAATAGGTTTGTGGGTCTCATTATTAAAGAAATGACTTTAAAATGTTCTGCCACAATTTTCTGACAGTTTATTCACATGATTTGTAAGTAGGCTTACAAGAAACAAATCTGTATGCCAATAATACCAATAAAAAAGTCCAAATAGACAATGCTTTGATCTCTTTCCTGTCTATTGTGTATAATGATGTACTTTTAATAACCCCATTCTCCCCTTAAACTGTACACATAATTAATGGACAGTGCATAGTTAATTTCAGTTGAAATCAGATATATATAAAGATTAATATTGCCCAGTTCCCTTATTTCCAACTGTCAAGTGCCATGGCACAGTGGTTATCATCTCTGTCTATGAATCAAAAGATTTCTGGTTTGAACCTGCTCCATGGTGCATCAGTTTTTTTATGTTCACATTCTCAAAGTTCGAACATCAACATATGTTAATTTACGATCATTTGCATAATTCAAGAATGCTCCCTTATGCTACAAAACCACAAGCTATCAGAGAAGTTCAGTTTTTCTTGTACTGCATGCTGCAGAGTTAGTACCTTCTGTGGACTAATAAACATCTATTTATGTTCACCAATGACTCGTTATTGTTGCCACCTTTCCTCTACACAACAATATATAATCGTATATAATGATATGATATAATTATTAAAAAATCATAGATAAATTTTTAACATTTTATACACTTAATTGAAGAATACATTATGAAAAACAAAACTAGTGAAAAAATACTTTTATTATACTAAATAAATTGCAGTAGACCCCCCCCTGTAATGCAAGTTCCAATAACGTAGATTCCTATAACGCAGCAAAAAAATTGCGACAATATTCATATAAAGACGCTAAAAGGGACGCGTAAAATGCAGTAAAACGTCATCACCAACTCGTCATCACGGATGAGCAGCCGAACTACTTTCCGCCGTTCAGCACCACGCTATGGAGAGTTTAAACGAGTAAATTGAGTTTACTATCGTCTGTACAGTATTATATATAAATTATATATAAATTAGATACTGTACATATAATTATATATTAATTATATATAAATTAGGTACTGTATATATAATTATATATTAACTTATTGTAACTTGTATTTAATTATAATAATAATTAAATACGTAATTTCCGCCGTCGAGCGTGGCGCCGCGCTATGGAGATTTTAGGTACTAAGTTGAGTTTATTATCGTNAGCGCCATGCTACAGAGAGTTTAGGCGAGTAAGTTGTTTACTATCGTCTGTACAGTATGTAAATTAGGTACCGTAAGTCTAATACAGTACTCTAATTTTATACATTTCTTGTGAAAAAAACACTTCTTATTCAACGGCCATAAAAATTATTTATATTAACGATGTCTCCAAAGTTAAACGAAGTTTTCGCAAAAAAATAACATCAAAAATCGCAGCCGTAGTTTGGTGCGCTGGTCCGCGATGAAAACAAGCTTAAGCAATGGCAACATCGAACGGTGCATACTCGGTAATTAATCCTACAATTTTTTGTTTATAGCATAGTTTATACGGATTATTCCCAAAAAATTATACGTGTTTTGGAAATGTTAAGTCGAATTAGTCTAGAATCGATTAATTTTATGGAAGAAAACCTTTCAAACAGCCGTAGTCCGTAAACTTCACACGTGTCGGGCTGTGATTGGCTCACGTATTTAAGAATTCCTACAACGTGAAATTCGTATAACGAGGAACCTATCTCCGCGTTATAGGGGGGTCTACTGTAAATGCCAATAATTATAACTTTTAAAATCTAATTAATTAAACAAAAGACAGCATTTTCAATAATTTGGGTTTATAGTTTGTTAATTCATGTAAAAATGCAAAAAACTTAAAGATGAAAGATGATGTCATGCATATAATAATTTAGATTGAAAGAGCATCTTTGGTTTATGTATGTATCCAAATTAAACTTAATTAAATAATCAAGACACCTTGAACACTAATGAAAGATTGGAGAAAAACTAATTTTTTTACCTGGTTAATAAACCATCTTCAGACATAAACCTGATGACGACTACCTGAAGTGGCAAGTTTGACTTTTTTAATTAAACACAATAAGAAAATTCTATCTCATCTCACATATAATTCCAATTCATTTTTCTCCTTTGATAAATTCAAATTATTATCCTCAAGGAAGAAGGACAAGTTAGACCAATGGTGGAAAAATATCTAGCTCCATTACAAGATCAAGGAAAAAAAATACAAAAACAATCGCGCAAACATGTAGAAGAATATAAGCACCTAGTAGAGAGCAAAGAGGAATTAGTGAAAATACTACAATATGTAGCCTTAACAGATGAAGATAAATCTGTGCAGATTTTAGAGACTGTACCCCTCAAACTCCTAAAGTGTTTTTTGCACTGTGAAAGATATACTTCTTCATACCACCCAACAAGCAGAAAAACTGCAGTGACAAATTTTAAAATGCATTGATCTAATATCCTACTCATCCTTCTTCATGGGTGAATTGAAAAGTAATGCCTCCACGGTCATAAGTTTTATGATGACAGAAAAAATTGTGTCAAAATTGGTTTGGGATTTACCTTGATTCTCGATACACTCATCCATCTAGCAGTAATTCTTAGCAACATCATGTTTGCACACTGCAGACCTGAAAATGATAATCTACATGAACATGCAGTTAAAGAAATAAGCTGTTGGGTGTCTTGACAGCTTCCAAAAAAAAGGAAATATTGGTGAAAAGAAATTTGTCAATAACTCTTGCCTCCCTACAATACAGAAGGTGACGCCTTTCTCCACAAAACTATGACCAGTGACAAATTCTGAGTGCACCACTATGACCAAAACAAAATGTCAATTCATGGGAAATAGACATAAGGGTTCACCTCAACTAAATAAATTCAAAGCAATTTCCTCAATGTTTCCTGCTGAGAAAAAGTCATGTTACTGTTTTCTAGGATTGCAATTGCATCATTCAACCTGACTTCCTAGACCATGGCAAGAGTCAACTCAGAACAATACATTGTCACCCTAAGAAATCTGAAGCAACAGCTGCATAGGGTTCAACCTAAGAAGATAGCAATTCTCCATTATTATAATGATTGATCTCATATGAGCAAGCAAACATATACAACATTAGAGAAGCTTCAGTTCAATGACATTTTAGTCTATCCATCTTAAACCCCAGATCTTGTGCCTTGCAATTTTTTCTCGTTCCCAAAGGTTAAGGGGCATCTCAAGAACACAGTTTCTCTTCAGATGTGGAGTGATAGCAGAGGTATGGAAGTGGTTGCATGAGAAGACTTCCAACTTTTACAGGGATGAGTTTGTACAACTTGTCACACTTTGGCAAAAATATGTTGCTGTAAATGTAACTACGTGAAAAATGTGATTAGGTCATTGGATAGAGGACATTTTCAGCTATCCATTCATACTATATTTTCAAAATGTCTATTAATAAAAAACAGTTATGACTGTGGGACATTATTTTCAATATACAAGGGCTATTTTTTTCAAGCTCCAATGGTCCATAGAACAAAGACAAGTGTAAATAACAAAATGAATTTATTACCAAAAGTTAGGTATAAACATGGATACTTTTCAACATAATCACCATGAAGATTGAGGAATTTGTCATATCTGTGGACAAGCTTTTCCATCCCCTTGTCATAGAACAGTGCTGCCAGTGAATTGAGAAATAAATTCATTTTGTTATTTATACTTGTCTATACTTGTTATATTTCATGCACCATTGGAGCTTGAAGAAAAAACAGCCTATGTATCTTCATACAATGGGAAAAGGTTAGAATCATTAAGAGTCCACAACAAAAGAGAAGCCAAATATGCAAAGTAACTCAAAATATATATAGAAGCAAAAAATAAATGTATCAACAAAAAAATGCAACAAGCATTCTCAATACCTGAAAATTTATGATGGAAAATAACAGTACAGACAACTATGATTGAAAAATTAAAACACTGTACATTTGCACACCACTCATACCTACTCCAGCAAATTAAAATTTAATTGAAGTACAAATATTTTCAGCATTTGTATTTCATTAAATTTTCAATGTGCTGAAGCAAGTATGACTGATATACAGTGTTTTTAATCAACTGTTCCAGCTTTGAAAGTGTTTAGTTGGACAACTACAACAACTATGATTCAAATTAATTCAAAAGATGTCATCAGTATAGTCTTAAAAAAAACTAGAATGAATTAAATTCGATATATTCAAATGAAGTCTGAGGAAGGGTTATAAAAGACCCAAAAATGTTAGAAGAAAAGAAAATTAGTGCTGGAGTGAAAAAGTAGATAAGGTTTAAATTTTCTTAACAATTGAAAAAACTACTTGAAAAAGCTGAGCACAATTTCATTTAATGTAATTAAAAATATCATAATATATCAATAGTAAAAATATTGAAGAATACAAAAAATTTTTTGTCTTTACAATGTATCATTTCAGTCTTGCATAAAAAAAATTTTGTATTCTTCAATATATCTTTTACTACATAAATTACAGTCAGCCATTTTTAATGATACATTGATAACTGTAAAAATGTAACTAAAATCAAAGCAAATTTTAGTTATAAAACAGTTTAAACTGAAATAGATTTTCATTTTATTTGTTTTATTGTGATTAACATGTACAGGGTGGGAAAGAAAGTCACTTAATACTCCTGCTACAGAATATAGAATGTACGCAAAGTTAATTCTCTCATATCAGGAACACATTAGACAAAGGTAGAAACAGATTTGTGTGTGTTACATACACAGCTGCCATCAATATGGCGGCCATACTGAATGCAACTTCAAAACTGTAAATGGAAAGGGGGTCACATGTGACACATCATTTAGGGTCAGAATTTCATACAGAATTGATTGCTGGAAGATTTTATTGACTTACCTCGAACAGTTAGAGTTATGCACCTTTCATAATGTGCTTAATGTACATTCTTTGGGTACATTTTATATTCTGTAGCAGGGGTGTTAAGTGACTTTCTTTCCCATCCTGAATATGATATTTAATAAAAAAATAATCGATTAATATCTTAATTTTTGTGATTTATTTAGTCTTTTCCATACAACTCTCTTATTTGCTTCTTCAAACTCAAGCTTTGAAATGATCAAAGGAAATCAAAACAATTCAAAAGTATAATCAAAATTTGAAGAATCAAATTCAAACTATGCTTTGCTAAGTGTAGGAACAGCCACAAGAATGCAGCCCAATTTTATTTCTTAGAATTTGTATGCTACAAATATAATCTGTTATTAGTAATCTGGTATCATTATTCAATTTTATTTGTTCTTTTTAACTTTTAATGAGACATTTAGTCAAAAGTGATTTTTCTTTAAAAGGTTTTGCTCTGAAAAAAGGCAGTATGAATTAGATGTGTGTAAAGAATGTCCTTTATTAATGTGCTAAATTTGAAACAAGATTTTGTATACATATTTCAGAAAATATGTGTATTTTTTTCAACTATTAATATAATGCTACATACTGAAAAGGTTTACAGAATATTGTGTTAATATTTAATTTATTTTCTCTCTAAATAAAATTATTTTAAAAAGCCCAATTTAAAACTTTTTAACATACCGTAATTGAAATATCAACAATCAGTACATCAGCATTATAAAATAAATCTAACACATTTCCTTCACAAAATTCCAATTTTTGATATTGAATATGCTGTAATGAAGCTCCGATCGCATGGCACACTTTCTGAATTTCTTCATATGCTGCTTGACGTTGTTTCAAATTTTCAGTAATAACCTTAAAAAAAATCATATCTTATTAATAATTAAGAACATAACACACATTTGTCTTGCTAACTTTAATTTGCCAACTACTATAATTGTTTTTATTGGTAGAATTTTACATAAGTGGTTAAATAAATTAAAATTCTTTCATTAATTATAAATTTGATGATTTTGTACTAATTTTAAAAGAATAAAACTGTTAAAATAAATACTCTCAAACTAATATATTGCCATTTTCTATTCTTTATACATAGAAACCAAATAAGAAACTATAAATCTCAAAAATGTTTTATGAAAAATGTAAAACTGATTACTATATCTTGAAAATTTAAGTCAAATAAATTGTTTCATTTAAATAATTCATAAAGAGTTAAATGAGAAATGATCCTGTAATTTTTGTATATCAGATAAGCACTCTACTATTAATGCTATCCTGATTTTGGGAGGAAAAGATCACATCTAGTTCTATCAGATTTAGTTACATTATATAACTATATGAATGGAGATATCTAAATTTTTCTGATGTTAATTTTAAAATTAAAAACACTCCTTAAAATAAAGGATGACAACTAGATGGGTCCTGCAAGAAGAACAAGTTACTTCTAAACGCTTTAAAAATTAGAATTTTAAGATATAATCCTCTAAAGTCATTTTTAATTCTTGGCTATGTTCCAAAATATTTAAACATTGTTCTTTTTGATAAACAATCTGATAATGAGATTTTGTCTCATAAAACAGGAATAAAAGACTAATTAAATAACAACTAAAACACAACTAAACCTTTAAACCAGCAAATTTATTTCATCTATCTTAAACAATTATCTTTAAGTTTGAAAACAAAATTCTATACAGCAGTGGTGTGCTGTTTACGGAAGCTGTGGAAGCACTGCTTCCCTTGTATTTTCTAAAATATAAATACATATTACATGATTATTTTCATATTTTAACATACTTTGAATTAATTAAAATTAATATTTTATAACTGCATTATGTACTGTACCTTATTACAAATTTCTATACATGCGAAAAAAAATGATAAGATTGCTATTGTATATTCAAATATAAATTCATATATGGCACACAACTGCTATACAGATATTATATTCCAGAACACACAAAATTTAAAAATAAGCTTGCACAAAATTATGAAATTAAAAAGTCAGTGAATAATTATTATAAATTTGAAAAAAGGTATACATGTATACATTCTTATATTTATAATCTTAGAGTGTAAAATGTTCACACTCTTAAATGTAATGTCTATATCAGAGTTGAAGAAACTTCTTTTAATCAGATAGACCAGTGTTTTTCAACCTGGGGGTCGCGACCCACAGGGGGTCGCAAAGCCTTACACGGGGTCGTGAGTAAAAGAAAAAGACAAGCATTTGTAGGTCCTACACTACAATAAAAAAAAAACTACAATTTCAGTGAGAAGGCTGTGCCTGTTTATTTTACAGTACAATTGGTTTTTCGATCAATATTTAGGTCTCAACAGAAAGAAAATTAAATACGTAGTTTTTAAAATCACTGATATAGTTTTAATATGGCCCTGGGGGGTCGCCAGAATTTTTTAACTTGTAAAGGGGTCGCAGATTCAAGAAGGTTGAAAAACACTGAGATAAACAAAACACATTTTCAGAATATTTCAAACTACATTTGCATTGCCTATTGCCTGAGTGAGTGTGAGTGTGTTTGTGTGTGCATGTGCATTCACTACATATGCAAAAGATGCTTTATAACAAATAATAAAAACAAACATTAAACAATATTATATTAGTTGTCCACAAACTAGTTTTTATTTAATTTTCTGAAAAACAAGAAATACAGACCAGATGCCCAAAAACTTATTTTTATATCATTTTATATTTTTTCAAAACAGGCACAAAAGGCCTCAACAAGTGGAGGGAGAACTTTTGATTTTAAATCTGAAGACAGCTGTTTGAACTTATCAAAAGTATTTGTTTTTGAAATTAACCTGCTGGTTTAAAAAATTATTCCTTTTTGAACGGTCTCATGAAAGTTTATATACTCACTTCCTATTGGCTTCTTTATTTTAAAGTGTGTCTTTAGACTTGAATATTTGAATATGAGGAATGGTCAGAAAATCAACTTCACTTTTATTTTAATATTACAAATGTTTCTTAAGTGTCTGACTTATTTGCAAAAGAGCAATAAATTATTTTATCTGGGTTCCACATCATTAGCAGAAACGTTAACTCACCAAATCAAGCAGGCACACCACATCCATTTTGGAAGGAGAATGAGAATGATGGCTGGAAACAGATTTTACGTCAGCATCACTCATAATTACATGATTTATATGAAATTACTTTATATCACTTCCGGAATCATTTACATCTGAAAAGAATGTTAAAACTTAAATTTAAAAGAAAAAACAATCACAAAAATAGAAATATCAATATAATTTTTCTAATAAATATAGTAATAAATATTTGATTCTTCAATGTCATTGTCAGTTAACCAAGATATACATTTTTTATAAGAGTGGTTAAAATTTGTTTGGAATTATATTATGTTATATTATTATTCATGTATTCAAATTTGAATCATAAATATATACATACAGATATTTAAAATCAGTTTTAGTTGTTCTTAGAATTTTTAATATGTATCTCAGTTAACTGGCCTTTCATCCACTTTATATTTAAAATTAATTAATTACGCAAATTATATTATTAAATAAGATATTAATAAACAATCTTATCATAAAAATAAGCTAAACTTCAATACACTAACTGAATTACAATGCCAAATGCTGTGATATGCAGAACTTGATACACTGGAAAACTTTTAATTTCCAAAAAAAGACCATAATCTATACTATTATTATAAAGAGTTTGTAAGTTTGTATGTATGGGTAATCTCCGAAACTACTCATCCGATTTCAAAAATTCTTTCACCAATATTTAGAATGGAAGTTCAGGGTGGACATAGGCTATATATTATTCCATTAAACATTCATATAAATTAAAAGATATATCTAGGGTTAAGGCTTTTATGTCCAACAGATGGCGCTACGAGTACGACGCCCTAAGTTTGCTTTTCTGTGAGGCATTATGCTTTTCTGTGAGGATGAACTAAAGCAGATCATCTTCTATCTATCTATATAAATAAAAATGTAATGTTCGTTTGTTCCTACCTATTCCTTTGAAATTTTGACAGAACTCTGCATTCGAATACACACGTTTTTATATACTTTTTTTATATATTACGTTTTTATATACTGTAATATAAGTGTCGAAATTCCCCCCCACTGGGGGAGATGGACAGGATTAAGGCTTACCGTAAAGAACTCTGCTTCTATTTATACTATTTTAGATGCGGTTTTTTACATTTTTGATTGCTTTTTAATAGGGTATGTCAACAGAATGTACATTAAGAAGGGATTTTTCAAAAAATTCCCCCATGGGGGAAGTGTTATACATTTATAATAGATACATTTTGAGCCACAACAATGNCACATTGAAATTGTTGAAGTTTACAAGGCTAATAGACACATTGGGTTCTTGATGTTGACTCACTATCCACGTCATGGAAATTATTGTACAAAATATAGCTTTAAATATTTTGTTGCATATTGTTTTTTAATGTTAACAACCAACACATGCTATTGTTTTATTTTATTTTACTTTTTAAAGTTAAATTTTTACTTTTATTATTGTGTTTTAAAGTTAAATTTAATTTGTATGTGTTCTATGTATTTTTTAATTTAATTTGTTTTGTTATGTTCAACAACTGATGAAGATCCATTAACCGGGTCGAAAATGTTTGCTTTCATTAAATTGTATCTGCTGGAGTAATTTAAGGTGTTAAGTTTGTTTATTTATAATAATAATATTTAATATAAGTTTATATACATATATAAAAATCTCACAATACAACACAATTGAAAGTCATTTAAAAAAAAATGACCTCAAATTTTATTTCTCTAAATGCATAAATCAGAACTTTGAATTTTTTTTCACGAACTGTGCCAAAGTTACATTTGTGCCAAATGTAAAGTTTTTAGCTTGTTTGAAAGTAAGAACTAATTTAGGTAAGTGTGACGAGTATGCTTTTTATGCTAATAAAAGAAATTCTGTAGAGAGAATTAATTACATGAATATTTTTAATATCTGAAAGCTTTCTAATATATGTTTGAGTGTAAACTTCACAGATGAAATGTTAATGATAAAAATCAGCCAAGTAATTGTACTCCTTTTTTTTCTTTTTTTTTCAAAGATGAGTGTCTTTTTTATTGTGTTGTCCTATTTCAGATTTTTTTTTATTTGTGATGTAAATTTATTATAATGAGCTATCAAGGCAAACCTAATATGGCATATTTTTTTGTGTACTGACTATAATTTTTATTTATATTTACATTTTATTATGTATTATAAAATGATTTAATTTTCTTGTAGTAAGCTATATTTAACATAAGCAAAATTCTGTGTTATTTCAGTTCTTTCAGTTCATTTTTAGAGGGTAATAATATTGAAAAAATAAAATATGAACAGAATTAAATATGATTAAAGTTGAATTTTTTTTGTTTTTTCTTTCTTTTTGTGAATTTTATCTACTGAGGATGGAATGAAGAAACCCTAAAGTAGAAATGATGTTTGCTGTTTACTGTTCTTTGACTCTAATATGGCAGATGTTTCTGTATTAAAGTTTTGGAATGTTGATGAATATTCTATTATTAAACTGTAGTTGTGAGTTTTCATCACCATGCCCTGAATATAGTCAGATGATAATATAATGATAAGACTTGTCCAGCCCTGGTATATACATGAAGGAGCCATTTATTGAAACTATACTTTATATAACTTATATGTATTCCTGTATATTTAATTACACTAATTAAATGTATAGTAGCCATAGTAGATGGTCTGAAAGAGCTACACCTGGCTTGTGTTCCACAGTTTGGGCCACCATGGTTATATACTATCCAAATGTAAGCAAGTTACGTATTGTTGGCCTGGTTCACAAACTTCTTATCTTCGAATTGTATGTATTTGAGATTATTGTACTAGCATAATCAAAATGGTGTGACACATCATCTTTACAGTTGCAAAACTTGTGTTTCTGGTGCATATGATTTTAGAGAGGTAAAAATTCATTGCCACAAATATAGTACTCTCAAAAACCAGTTTTTAATGCCTTCTGTAAAGTAGGTATTTTGGTTGTTATGAGGTTTGTGAACTGGGCTGACAATATCTGTGCTGCTGAGTTTTATACCTCCATATACTCTACTCTCTACTGTGCATAATGTGTATATTACTTGAATATATTTAGTTAATATATTACTACTACTATGCTACAATAGTAATGTTTATATATATATATATATCTGATCTGTTGCATTCTTATTTATGAAGTAACAAATTAGAAATAATTATATATATAATTATTTCTAATTTGTTACTTCATAAATAAGAATGCAACAGATCAGATATATATATATATAAACATTACTATTGTAGCATAGTAGTAGTAATATATTAACTAAATATATTCAAGTAATATACACATTATGCACAGTAGAGAGTAGAGTATATGGAGGTATAAAACTCAGCAGCACAGATATTGTCAGCCCAGTTCACAAACCTCATAACAACCAAAATACCTACTTTACAGAAGGCATTAAAAACTGGTTTTTGAGAGTACTATATTTGTGGCAATGAATTTTTACCTCTCTAAAATCATATGCACCAGAAACACAAGTTTTGCAACTGTAAAGATGATGTGTCACACCATTTTGATTATGCTAGTACAATAATCTCAAATACATACAATTCGAAGATAAGAAGTTTGTGAACCAGGCCAACAATACGTAACTTGCTTACATTTGGATAGTATATAACCATGGTGGCCCAAACTGTGGAACACAAGCCAGGTGTAGCTCTTTCAGACCATCTACTATGGCTACTATACATTTAATTAGTGTAATTAAATATACAGGAATACATATAAGTTATATAAAGTATAGTTTCAATAAATGGCTCCTTCATGTATATACCAGGGCTGGACAAGTCTTATCATTATATTATCATCTGACTATATTCAGGGCATGGTGATGAAAACTCACAACTACAGTTTAATAATAGAATATTCATCAACATTCCAAAACTTTAATACAGAAACATCTGCCATATTAGAGTCAAAGAACAGTAAACAGCAAACATCATTTCTACTTTAGGGTTTCTTCATTCCATCCTCAGTAGATAAAATTCACAAAAAGAAAGAAAAAACAAAAAAAATTCAACTTTAATCATATTTAATTCTGTTCATATTTTATTTTTTCAATATTATTACCCTCTAAAAATGAACTGAAAGAACTGAAATAACACAGAATTTTGCTTATGTTAAATATAGCTTACTACAAGAAAATTAAATCATTTTATAATACATAATAAAATGTAAATATAAATAAAAATTATAGTCAGTACACAAAAAAATATGCCATATTAGGTTTGCCTTGATAGCTCATTATAATAAATTTACATCACAAATAAAAAAAAATCTGAAATAGGACAACACAATAAAAAAGACACTCATCTTTGAAAAAAAAAGAAAAAAAAGGAGTACAATTACTTGGCTGATTTTTATCATTAACATTTCATCTGTGAAGTTTACACTCAAACATATATTAGAAAGCTTTCAGATATTAAAAATATTCATGTAATTAATTCTCTCTACAGAATTTCTTTTATTAGCATAAAAAGCATACTCGTCACACTTACCTAAATTAGTTCTTACTTTCAAACAAGCTAAAAACTTTACATTTGGCACAAATGTAACTTTGGCACAGTTCGTGAAAAAAAATTCAAAGTTCTGATTTATGCATTTAGAGAAATAAAATTTGAGGTCATTTTTTTTTAAATGACTTTCAATTGTGTTGTATTGTGAGATTTTTATATATGTATATAAACTTATATTAAATATTATTATTATAAATAAACAAACTTAACACCTTAAATTACTCCAGCAGATACAATTTAATGAAAGCAAACATTTTCGACCCGGTTAATGGATCTTCATCAGTTGTTGAACATAACAAAACAAATTAAATTAAAAAATACATAGAACACATACAAATTAAATTTAACTTTAAAACACAATAATAAAAGTAAAAATTTAACTTTAAAAAGTAAAACAAAATAAAACAATAGCATGTGTTGGTTGTTAACATTAAAAAACAATATGCAACAAAATATTTAAAGCTATATTTTGTACAATAATTTCCATGACGTGGATAGTGAGTCGACATCAAGAACCCAATGTGTCTATTAGCCTTGTAAACTTCAACAATTTCAATGTGCTGCTAGATTGTTTTAGGTATAATCATAGTGTCGTCCCAAGACTTCCATTACTGAATGCCAACAGTGCAATGTTGCTTAGACTTTTTGTTCATCACATATTCATTGCTCCTTAACTCTATTGCTAAGGTTCCACATGGTAGCGCCAACATACAATTAGCAATGACGATAGTGCCAACAATTGAAAGAATCTTGCATAGCTGTGTCTTTGTATAAAAGGTTGAATGCAATAGGAATGTGTCTAAAGGCTGGGCTCAGATTGTTCTGGTCTGCAATTTATTTACCTAAAATAGGATTAATAGTTTTCTTTTGTCAATCACAAATCACTCCCTAAACCAAGTATAAAAAACAAACTAATTGAAAATGTAGAAAACATTGTATGCACAGTTGTCACGATTAGAAACAGTTAGGCTGCAGTGCTTAGATACAGTGCCGTGGCTACAGTTTCAATCTGAATCGTTTGAAAGGGGCCAGAAAGAATGATGATGATGGCAGGATGCTTTCACAAAAAAAAAACTTGAAAAACAACAAGTAAGACTGACCCAAAAAAAGTACTGGAGAAATCTATATCTTGCAGTAGATAAGCATGGCCAATTTTAATGATAATGATGACTTATTAAAATTAATTGTATGTATTTTACACATAATAAACTGATAATAACTGTACTAACTTTAAAAAATAAATTCAAATAAACAAAACTTACTTCCATGGATAAAACAAAAATACAAATTGGAAACTTTTCTGAACATTCATCTACTCTTTAATTTAAACATTCCATTTATATATTACATCAAGAAAAAGTAGAGAAAATGACTTTTTATTGGTTCCTACTCCTGTATGTTGTTCAAAATATCACAAAAATTAATTATAAATTTAATTAAGATGCCTCAATGTCCTTTTTCTTACTAAATTATAAATTTATTTTTTTCATGATGACAAGATTAAACTTTATATTATTTATTCACAATGGCACCATAAGGAGATTTTAAATGGATTATGAACAATAAATTTTATTTTCAAGTTACATATACTAACACAGGTTACACAACAAATTACTAGAATTTAATATCAACCAAAACATTTTTAGATTATTTACGTCAGCTCAACTCACTCCTCTTGAGGTCATTTATGATGTTAATCTGAATATTTAGAATGCCAAAACTAGTGAATTCTTGGGATAAATCCAAATGAAATGAAAATGAAAGCATAAAACATGAAAAATAAAATATCTGTAGCAAAAATAAGTTTAATGTAGCTTATGATTTTAATTATTACATAATAAATTTATTTTTTTTTCAATGAAAGAATGATTTTATAATATTTAGTAGTTTAATTTATTTTATGATAAAAAAAAAACAGTAAAAAAATGTAAAAACAAATGAGGAAAATTGGTCACATTTTAATTAGATTACATACTTGTTTCTTCTAGTTCTATGTCATGACTTGGTGCATTTATCGAAACTTGACAAATAATTGGGAATTATTTGCCAAGTGTCGATAAATGCACCAAGTCGTGACATAGAACTAGAAGAAACAAGAAAAAGAAGACACGGTTTCGACAAATAACTAGATTACATACATTAAGATTACCTTCCATGAGTTTAAGAATTTAATTAATAAAATCCAATAACAATAATCTAAAGATGGGCTAACAAAATTATTTTTCAGCTGTTTTTTCAACATTGCACATTATTTAAATAAAATAATGTTTTCAACATCTTAAAAGTTTAATTATTTTAATTAACTATAATCTATTGTTTCATCAATGAAATAAATCTAATATAAACATTCATTTACAAATTTATCTGTTGATACCTTTCTAAAAAGCTAATTCATCATTCGGCATTGGAGTACATTCGTGTTGACAAACAAGGACGCATCCTTCCAGCTTTGTTTGAGTCTTTGTTTATTTATGATGGCTTTTTACTTAAATAAAACAGACTATAGTGATACAGACAAAGTTTTCTGACTGCACGGTAGCTGAATAAATATTGTTTGGCTAAATATATTCTAAACAGTATGTGTGTGTTGACTTGAATGTGAGAACTTTTACATTTATAAGTTTATAAAATGTACAAAATTTAAAAGTTTTTAATGTTTTATTCACAGATTTTTAGGAATATATAAATATTTAAAACAATAAAAATTCAAATGATTATAATCCCAGTTGATTGTGGAATATATTTAAGTTAAATTCCATTGCTCAATCTATTATAAGTTTGAAAACCTTGAATTTTTATTTTTAAAGAAAAACATTACAAGAAAAACATTTCAATTTTATGATATTTTTAAATAAAAATGCACATTATAAACAGCATATATGTAGTTAAAGAAATGGACACATTTATCAACAGATCACATACATGAATCACAAAATCCAGCAAGAAAGCAGAATGAATGTTAATTTAATTATAGTTTTATTTTTTGAGATTTTTCAGATTTAAGTTGTCAAAATTTATATAATCAAGAGACATTCAAGTATTATATAAGCATAATTTCTGTCATTTTTTATACCTTCTTTTTTCCTATGTACTTGTATAATCATTGCATTGACACTTCTAAATTATTGATATTTAAGATCTTTCCATGCTTATTACAATAAAGAAATACACTAGATCCATTTTTACATGATAAGGACATTAATATTTAAAATTTGATAATAAAATAAGAAACAAAAATAGATTGTTATAAATCAGAAAACTGGTATTAACTCTCAATTATAAATGAAGACAAGATGGCTAAGATGGTAAAGAAGTCAGTATACATCTCAGAGTTTGGTGATGTACTCAAATTTTCACAGGCAGTTTGATTCAGATATGTTGGATCTCATTCCTCACTGCTCAGCCATCTCCTACTGTGGGTCTGGCCAAACTAATGAAGGGCATAAATTATTGATTCAATCCTTATACATAGTAATAAGATTATCTTTCATCCCTTTCTCTCTCAAATGCTCACTTATAACTTGAACCATTATTTAAGTAATATATTTCATCCTCACAACTTCTGACAGGTTGAGAAAGTCCAACATGTCTGAAGTATACATAAAATTAACTTTCTTATAAAACTTTTTATTCTAAAACAGAATTAAAGAAAACTATACTATATATAAAATATCTAAAAAGTTTATTCTAAAACTAAAAATGTCTATATAAAAATAGAATATTCAAATACATATTTTTAATTACCTGTAAGAGAATATCTAAAAGTACATGATGTTATGTGACTAATTATATACATACATGTTTATCACTAAAGTTTAAAAATTAAATAAAATCTGTTTTATCATGGAGTTATCTATTTATATACTATCTTAATAGATATAATATAGAATTATACTTTGATATGATGTTTGTACCAAAACAAAGTTTCGATAAGATGCAATTATTCTGTAAAACCTTTAAACAGAGAAAATTTGTTTACAAAGTATGAAGAAAAATAGAAAAAACACACATTATAATTTTTGTAGTGTGTAAACGTTTTTAAATTGCTTTAAGTAAATTCAGCAACTGAATTCAATTTATTAAATATACAAGATCACCTCTTGGTTCTCTTTGAGCAGGAGAAAAAATTATATAAACACACATACACAAAATGGTCTAAAAGTCGGTTAACTGAAATTTTTAGAACAGTTGAAACTGGCCTATTAAAAGCAACTGAATTACAAGTGAGCAATTATTTATTGCAACATTGTCATAATGCCAGGCTGCAATTTTTAATCATATTTTTAATTTATTTAATTTAAAGTATTATGCTCTCCACCTCAAATTAGTAGCATCTTCCCCCTGTACTGTACATCATACTGTTCTTGTTAGCAATAGTCATGCCAATCATCTATTAACTCCTTTCAGGGGAAAGTTTTTGAACTGAAATAATGTAACTTCCAATATGCATCAGAAGTTCGTATATAGTTAATCAAAACTTCCTGTCCCTAAACTTTCCATATCTGGTGTTGACTTCATCAATCTAACACTGTTCTTGAAGTTATGGAAAGACAGACAAACAGCAATAGAAATTTATGTCTACAATTTTTTTCAAATTGCAGCACAACGATAATTTGTAGCTGTTCCAAACCAATTTTAACATTATTAAAATAATTTTAGAAATATATTTCAATTAAGTGATTTTTTGGATCATCATGTATACCTATATTAATCTTAAAAATAAGCATCAAAAAAGGTAAATACAGAGTTATCTTAATTCTTTTGAGTCTTTTCAACTCATCTTTACAGATTTTAACAGAAATGAATTGGATTAAATAACAACATTGCATGGAGCATTGATGTTGTGTGGGCGAGCAGAATGAACTGGATGCTATAGTTACAAGATCATAGCCATAATCTATCATCTGTTAGACAATACCTAAGTAAATAAATACTGTATAAGGCTAATTCACCATAATGTAGTGGAACACCGTTAAATAAATATGGATTATTGAAAGAAAAGGTATATTATCATTTCTGTTTAACTTTTTAAATTGGTCCCTTCAAAAACTTAACTGAATTATACTGTATTTAATATTTTGTAATTAAATTATTTTCTTCTTGTAACTATAGTAACAAATTCATTATACTTGCCCACTCCCACAGTAACTGCATTAAATTTAATATATTTTTGTTAGCCTCACAAAGATGAGTTTGAAAGATTCAAAGTACTAAAATGCTTTTTCTAGTGCCTTAATATTTACTTTCCGTCGTTAAAACATCATTTCTGAAGTTATATTACTTGTAGAGTAAGTCTTTAATTAAAACTGGTTAATGAAATAAAGACAATTATGGTGTGCACAGCAAAAGAGTAGACATGAGTCAGCATGAGCTGGAAGTGTCTATGTCAGATAAATGAATAGAAGGAAACATGTCACTACCCCTTGGGAGTTGATACATGGATCTTATCTTTCAGCTGTTTTGTTTTTCACATCTCTAAAATGTTTTATATCATTTTTATCATAAACACTAATTTTTTCCAAATTTTATTACTTACTTTTAATTCGTATGTTACTCACATGTTAATCACATGCCTTCTTCTGTTCCTTTCATCTGACATAGACCCTTCCTGCTCAGGCTGACTTGCGTCTAGTCTTTTACAGCACAGACTATAGTAGATGTTTTTGAGATAGGTGAGTATGCACACCTGCAAAAGGATAAGGTAAATTCAATGTTGAAAATAACAAAAGCTTTTTATGTTATAGAAGGGAAATTGAATAAACATAAATTGATTTTCATTAGAAATATATTTTAATAAGAAGTTGTAACAAATTATAAAAATTCATTCAGAGAGAATCTTTATTATCAGACATTTCTTGAACCTCAACATTAAAAATATCAATAAGAAAATTATTGGAAGTACAGTGAAACCTTGCTTAACAAGAACCTCGCATAACGAGCAAAACAAATTGTAAAAAAATGAATAAAANAATCTTATCATAAAAATAAGCTAAACTTCAATACACTAACTGAATTACAATGCCAAATGCTGTGATATGCAGAACTTGATACACTGGAAAACTTTTAATTTCCAAAAAAAGACCATAATCTATACTATTATTATAAAGAGTTTGTAAGTTTGTATGTATGGGTAATCTCCGAAACTACTCATCCGATTTCAAAAATTCTTTCACCAATATTTAGAATGGAAGTTCAGGGTGGACATAGGCTATATATTATTCCATTAAACATTCATATAAATTAAAAGATATATCTAGGGTTAAGGCTTTTATGTCCAACAGATGGCGCTACGAGTACGACGCCCTAAGTTTGCTTTTCTGTGAGGCATTATGCTTTTCTGTGAGGATGAACTAAAGCAGATCATCTTCTATCTATCTATATAAATAAAAATGTAATGTTCGTTTGTTCCTACCTATTCCTTTGAAATTTTGACAGAACTCTGCATTCGAATACACACGTTTTTATATACTGTAATATAAGTGTCGAAATTCCCCCCCACTGGGGGAGATGGACAGGATTAAGGCTTACCGTAAAGAACTCTGCTTCTATTTATACTATTTTAGATGCGGTTTTTTACATTTTTGATTGCTTTTTAATAGGGTATGTCAACAGAATGTACATTAAGAAGGGATTTTTCAAAAAATTCCCCCATGGGGGAAGTGTTATACATTTATAATAGATATATTTTGAGCCACAACAATGCGTGGCAGGGTCAGCTAGTCTATTATAAGGAAATGCAACTTCTGACACCTAAATTTTAATATCAATCACGTGCAACTCTCTCAATACATTAATTAGCAATTTTTTTTCTGTAATGTTCTAGTTGCATGTAGATGATCTAGCATGTAAGATAAAATTTAAAAAAACTCAATATTTTCAAGTAATAAACAATATGGTACAACACAAATTAAACACAAAAGTATCTTATATTATTAATTAATAAAATTGTTTAATGACTGAATAATTTTTTTAAGACACTCTGTAAATTAACAATCGAAAACAAATAAAATTCAGTCATACTTAAAGAAGTTTATCATTTATTTAATGTTTTGGAAATGTTTTACATTCAGAAGACTGTTACTTCTGAAAATGGCACTCAAAACCTCTGCTATGCAATAATAATGTTATGAAAGTATGTCCGAGCTTTGTATACTTTAATGATAAAAAAAATAAACAAACTCTTTGGAAATAGCAACAAGAATTATACAAATGCAACTCTTTTATTAAAGATTATAAAAGATTTATATAACAACACAATTTAACGCACTATGAAAAGTTATAAAAGAGTGCAATTACTGCAATTTTCCAAACCTATATGTGAGTCAAGGGATAGAAGTTCTTAGAAATCTTTCTACAATCTAAAAATAAATTATTGGATGCACTTTTAAGATAATTTCACATAAAAAGATCATAAAATTCTTCATTCTTAACTTAAATTTTCAACCAAAGCCTTAAATATTTAAATGTAATATAAAGTCCAACTATGTATATGGTAATCTGATATACTTTGACTTCTTAAACTATATAATTAAGATAACTAAAAATCTCTCTTTAAACTGTACAAGTCCAATTTATTATGAAATATTAAAGATGATGCAAGCTGAGAAAAAAATTTACAGTGTTACTAACATTTACAAATATTAATGTCACCTTTAACTTCATCTTCAGACATAGAATGTATGCATTTCACTTTCGATAAAATGTTTTATAGAGATGTGCTTAAATTCAATCATCTTATATCCAAAGATGGAGCTAAAGCTTTGAAAAGTGTCAGAATAATGTGCTTTACTATTGGCATTCTATCACTTCTAAGTACATAATGTTCGTCTCCAGGAATGTTACATGAAAAGAACATAGTTGCCAAGTTAATGAAACCTTTAAACTTCAGAACCACTATATCTTGTTCATCTTATATTAAGTAATCACAATGATGTTACTAGGTCTTGTTCTACACTTAAAAATATCAACTGTTCTTTTGCTAGTAACTAATTTAACCTTGTTCTACACTATCTCTACACAATTAATAATCATTGTAAATATCTCTTATATAATATACAATAGCACAGTTTAATTTACTGTATATGATAACTGAAAGAGAAAATTGCACTTCCTTCTTTAGAAGGTTATTGAGTAATTCAAAAATAGTAGTATCGTTCAAGGTTTAACTGGTTAGAATATATTAGATTCTTTTTGATATTTGAAATGCCAAAGTCAATAGTATTTTAACAAACTTATCACTTTAACTGAATATTCTTTTGAAATAAAAATCAATTTGTGAATAAGTCAACTTTCAAACTAAAACAATTATTATTCAAAATAACTTTTATTTTAAACCTAAACATTTCAAAACTTTAGTTTTGATGCACTATTAAGCAATTTTACTCTACTGTTAAATGATAGGTTGAATGACATTAACGTAGGTTAGAGGTTCCATTAAATCTAGATGCATATTTATGAAGGTAAGAAGACCTGTTTTACAAGTTAGAAACTATATATATATTATATATATCAAGCTTATTTACATAATAAATACTTTATGTAAACTTTTATACACTTTTCAAGTTTGTTTACAAAATAATCAGAAGTTTTAGATATTTCATCTAACTGAAACAAGTTATATAAAAATTTTTTAATTAAGTTTAAAACCCATTTATTTGCAAACAAGCCTTTCTTTATGTATCTGATCTGTTGCATTCTTATTTATGAAGTAACAAATTAGAAATAATTATATATATAATTATTTCTAATTTGTTACTTCATAAATAAGAATGCAACAGATCAGATACATAAAGAAAGGCTTGTTTGCAAATAAATGGGTTTTAAACTTAATTAAAAAATTTTTATATAACTTGTTTCAGTTAGATGAAATATCTAAAACTTCTGATTATTTTGTAAACAAACTTGAAAAGTGTATAAAAGTTTACATAAAGTATTTATTATGTAAATAAGCTTGATATATATAATATATATATAGTTTCTAACTTGTAAAACAGGTCTTCTTACCTTCATAAATATGCATCTAGATTTAATGGAACCTCTAACCTACGTTAATGTCATTCAACCTATCATTTAACAGTAGAGTAAAATTGCTTAATAGTGCATCAAAACTAAAGTTTTGAAATGTTTAGGTTTAAAATAAAAGTTATTTTGAATAATAATTGTTTTAGTTTGAAAGTTGACTTATTCACAAATTGATTTTTATTTCAAAAGAATATTCAGTTAAAGTGATAAGTTTGTTAAAATACTATTGACTTTGGCATTTCAAATATCAAAAAGAATCTAATATATTCTAACCAGTTAAACCTTGAACGATACTACTATTTTTGAATTACTCAATAACCTTCTAAAGAAGGAAGTGCAATTTTCTCTTTCAGTTATCATATACAGTAAATTAAACTGTGCTATTGTATATTATATAAGAGATATTTACAATGATTATTAATTGTGTAGAGATAGTGTAGAACAAGGTTAAATTAGTTACTAGCAAAAGAACAGTTGATATTTTTAAGTGTAGAACAAGACCTAGTAACATCATTGTGATTACTTAATATAAGATGAACAAGATATAGTGGTTCTGAAGTTTAAAGGTTTCATTAACTTGGCAACTATGTTCTTTTCATGTAACATTCCTGGAGACGAACATTATGTACTTAGAAGTGATAGAATGCCAATAGTAAAGCACATTATTCTGACACTTTTCAAAGCTTTAGCTCCATCTTTGGATATAAGATGATTGAATTTAAGCACATCTCTATAAAACATTTTATCGAAAGTGAAATGCATACATTCTATGTCTGAAGATGAAGTTAAAGGTGACATTAATATTTGTAAATGTTAGTAACACTGTAAATTTTTTTCTCAGCTTGCATCATCTTTAATATTTCATAATAAATTGGACTTGTACAGTTTAAAGAGAGATTTTTAGTTATCTTAATTATATAGTTTAAGAAGTCAAAGTATATCAGATTACCATATACATAGTTGGACTTTATATTACATTTAAATATTTAAGGCTTTGGTTGAAAATTTAAGTTAAGAATGAAGAATTTTATGATCTTTTTATGTGAAATTATCTTAAAAGTGCATCCAATAATTTATTTTTAGATTGTAGAAAGATTTCTAAGAACTTCTATCCCTTGACTCACATATAGGTTTGGAAAATTGCAGTAATTGCACTCTTTTATAACTTTTCATAGTGCGTTAAATTGTGTTGTTATATAAATCTTTTATAATCTTTAATAAAAGAGTTGCATTTGTATAATTCTTGTTGCTATTTCCAAAGAGTTTGTTTATTTTTTTTATCATTAAAGTATACAAAGCTCGGACATACTTTCATAACATTATTATTGCATAGCAGAGGTTTTGAGTGCCATTTTCAGAAGTAACAGTCTTCTGAATGTAAAACATTTCCAAAACATTAAATAAATGATAAACTTCTTTAAGTATGACTGAATTTTATTTGTTTTCGATTGTTAATTTACAGAGTGTCTTAAAAAAATTATTCAGTCATTAAACAATTTTATTAATTAATAATATAAGATACTTTTGTGTTTAATTTGTGTTGTACCATATTGTTTATTACTTGAAAATATTGAGTTTTTTTAAATTTTATCTTACATGCTAGATCATCTACATGCAACTAGAACATTACAGAAAAAAAATTGCTAATTAATGTATTGAGAGAGT